GACAATGATTGCTAGTAAAGAGAGACAGGAAATGCAATAAGAAAGTTGCCAAACTCAAAGGATTTTTAGATCTTTTAGCTCTATATAGCTGGCAATAATCTGTTTCATAGAAATCAAGTTATTGTTTGTCTTTTTTTATCTTTTACTTTTTTTTTTGTTAATCCTTACCCGATGATATTTTTCCACTGATTTTTAGAGCTAGTGGAGGGAGAGGGAGAGAAACAGAGAGAGAAACATCGCTGTGAGAGAGACACATCAATTGGTTTCCTTCAGCACACACCCCAACTGGAGCCAGGGATCAAGCCTGCAACCAAGATATGTGCCCTTGACCGGAATCAAACCCAGGACCCTTCAGTCCACGGGCTGACGCTCTATCCACTGAGCAAAACTGGCTAGGGGTGTTTGTCTTAACATTTGTAAAATATGTTTCTTTTCCCACCATAAAGGACTATAATATTATCAAACCTGAAAGAGAAAAAGACTATTAAAAATTCTAAAATTATACCTTTTAATACTTCATGGTAATAATAGGAACACATTAGGTGATTAATATGAAGAGTATCTCCATTTTGATGATAAGGTTTGTATTTGATAAAAATTAGAGTTCTTTAATCTCTCTATATATTCAACTCTAATATCCTAGGAAAAGTGTATTTTGTTGTTATTATTCACTAATAATCTAAAATATGGTTTCTAGTCTATGAGCTGCAGACTTCTGTGATTGCAGACCCCAGATAAATACCCAGTATTATCTAAGAAATGAACAAATGACATGTGCATATTTTTTAAATATATGTATATGATGCTGTGATTGCAATGATAGAAAATCATTTAAAAATGTTACACAGTCCTCAGTAGTTAATTTTTTTCCATAAAATATTGCTTCAATTACATTGAGGAAATTTAACTGCAATTATGTGGGAATCTACAAATTGTTTGGATGCCAAAAACTAGTTCCACAAACTCAAATAAGTTAAAATTTGCAGCAATAAATTTCTAATGTGCTATTTTAAGTACTGAAGATACCTTATGGAAGATGGGAAAAAATACATTTTTATAACTAAATTAGAATACCCAAAGATATGAGAATAATTACACTTGGAAATCATGTGCTTACAAAAGGAAGAGATTTGCATAAGAACTACTATTGTCTGCAGTAAAATAAAGGCAGTTGCGTTTCAGTCAAATGTGCCAACCCTAAGACCAAAAACCCAGCTCTACCACTTACTAGTTGTGTGGCCTTGGACAAATAAAACTACTTGCACCTCAGTTTCCTCATCTATATCAATAATCTCACACTGAATTTAGAAAACAGTTTCAAGAGGGGAGAAATGAATATAAAGTTATTTTCTACATATAGGTGCACACTGTAGGCTGAAAGTAGTACAGAATAAAAAATATAATTAAAGGATGGGTACTGAAAAGATTAAGTGAAGAAGAGGGGGTTAAAGAGTAAGGAAGGTTGCCTTCTACGGCACACACCTAAGCTCCTCAAATATTCATATTTGTAATTTTCTTGACTAAGATAGTTGTAAGGTTTCTACACTTCATTTTAAAGGATAAATTATTAACTACAAGTAGACTTTGAAAAGTTAGGTGTGAATAGTGTAATTACTAGAGCAATTAACTAAAAAACATACAAAAAATGTAATATTAAAGGCATTAGATGAATTGAAATGGAGTAATGAAAAATATGCTAATAATTCACAAGATGGCAGAAAAACACAGAAAAATGAAAAGAGGGACAAACAGAAAAGCAATTAAATCACAGAACTAAAACCAAACATACTGACAATTATACTAAATGTATATGGTATAAAAACAACAAAAAACCCAAGATTCTCAAATTATATGACAAATAAGAACCAACTAAATGCTATCTATATGAAACTCAAATGAGATAAAATAATAGACATGTTAAAATTAAGTAACAGACATGTTAAAATTAAATCATGCAAACACTACCCAAAGAAAAGTGAGATTATTATAATATCTGACTAAGTTAGACTTTAGAATATGGAGAATTACCAGGACTGCAAGAGGCAGTAAACAATGATAAATATATATGCACCTAAGAAGAGAGTATCAAAATACATGAAACAAAAACTGAGAGAAAAATAGATAAATCCACAATTATACTTGAGAACTTCAATATTTCTTTCTCAAGAACAGACCAAATAAAAATCCAGTAAGAATACAGAAGACACAATCTACACAATTGACCAAAGTGCCCTAAATGACATCTATGACTCTATACCCAACTACAGCAGAATACATTCTTTTAAAGAACACCTTTAGAGATATCTGTACCATTTCAAGAAAGGTTTCAAATGAATAATCTAAGTTTCCACCATAGGGGAATAAGAACAGCAAACAATATCCGAAGGAAGCAAAAAGGAAGAAACATAAAACAGAGAATTAATTTTTTTTAAGCAGCAACAAAGAAATTCAATGCAACCACAACCTTTGAAAATAGCAATAAAATTGATAAAACTCTCCAAAGACTAACAAGTGAAAAGAGAAAACACAAAATTTTCTTATCAATAAGAAAAGAGGAGATTTCACTCTGACTCCCACAGACACTAAAAGAAAAAACAATGAACAACTCTATGGGTATAAATTTGACAACTTAGATGAAATTAACCAAATTCCTTGAAAGACATTAGCTTACAAAACTTTATTAGGAGAAAATATATAAACAGAATAGTCTATTATCATAAGTACTAGAGGCCCGGTGCACTAAATTCTTGCATTGGGGGTAGGGGGTCCCTCAGCCCTGCCTGCACCCACTCCTATCGGGGACACTCCTCTCACAATCTGAGACTGCTGGCTCCTAACCACTCACCTGCCTGCTTGCCTGATTGCCCCTAACCTCTCTGCCTGCCTGCCTGATCGCCCCTAACTGCCTCTGCCTGCCTGCCTGATCACCCCTAACTGCCCTCCCCTGCTGTCCTGATATCGCCCCCAACTGCCCTCCCCTGCCAGCCTGGTTGCCCCTAACTGCTCACCCCTGCTGGCCTGAAATCGCCCCCAACAGCCCTCCCCTGCCAGCCTGATCTCACCCCTAACTATTCTCCCCTGATGGCCTGATCGCCCCTAACTGCCCTCCCCTGCTGGTCTGATCTTGCCCACAACTGCCCTCCCCTGCCAGCCTGATCTCGCCCCTAACTGCTCTCCCCTGCTGGCCTGATTGCCCCTAACTGCCTCTGCCTGCCTGACCTTGCCCCTAACTGCCCTCCCCTGCCGGTCTAATCTCACCCCCAACTGCCCTTCCCTGCCAGCCTGATTGCCCTTAACTGCCTTTGCCTGCCTGATCTCCCCTAACTGCCCTCCCCTGCCAGTCTGATCTCACCCCCAACTGCCCTTCCCTGCCAGCCTGATTGCCCTTAACTGCCTCTGCCTCCCTGATCTCCCCTAACTGCCCTCCCCTTCCAGCCTGATCTTGCTCCCAACTGCCCTCCCCTGCAGGCCTAATCTCACCCCTAACTTCCCTCCTCTCCCAGCCAATTTGGTTCTGATTGGTCAGTTTCTATGCCAGTCAGCATCTCTGGGCCTATCAACAGGGCCTGATCAGGAATGCGGGGCTGATCAGCAGCCCCAGTGGAGGCCTGGAGAGAAATGGAGGTGTGGCAGTTGGCCAGGCTGGGAGAGAAAGAGAGGCAAGTTCTGATCAATGGCTACCACAGAGGCTACAGATCGGACCCTGCCTCTCTCTCTCTGCAGGCCTCTCTCCAGGCCTGATTCGCAGCCTCCTAGGCAGTCAGTGCTGGGTCGGGGCGCCCACAGCGGCCCTAGTCAGTGCTGGGTTGCCATGACTTCCGGTCAGGTCAAGCCTTCGGTCGTTAGGACCCTGGCTCTTTATTATATAAACTAGAGGCCCGGTGCACAAAAATTTGTGCACTTGGGGGGGAGGGGGGGTTCCCTCAGCCCAGCCTGTGCCCTCTTGCAGTCTGGGACCCCTCCGGAGATAACGACCTGCTGGCTTAGGCCTGCTCCCGGGTGGCAGAGGACAGGCCCAATCCCTAGGTGCAGCCCCTGGTTGGGCTCAGAGCAGGGCCGATTGGGGAGTTGGGGCGTCGCCCCCTGTCATGCACAGAGCAGGGTGGATTGGGAGGTTGCGATGCCACCCTCAGTCACGCTCAGGGTAGGGCTGATTGGGGGGCTGAGGCACCGCCCCCTGTCACACTCAAGGCAGGGTCGATGGTGAGGTTGCGGTGCCACCTCGTCACGCACAGAGCAGGGCCAAGCAGGGGGTTGGGGTGCTGCCCCCTGTCACGCACAGAGCAGGGCCCATCAGGGGGGTTGGGGCTCCGTACCCTGTCACGCACAGAACAGGGCCCATCAGGAGGTTGGGGAGCTCCCCCGTCACACACAGAGCAGGGTGGATCAGGAGGTTGGGGCGCCGCCCTCTATCACCCACAGAGCAGGGCCAATCAGGGGGTTGGGGCGCCGCCACTCTCACACTCAGGGCAGGGCCGATGGGGAGGTTATGGCTCTACTCCATCACACAGAGCAGGGCCCGTGTGGGGGGGGGGGGGGGGGGGAGATGGGGCGCCACACCCTGTCACACACACAGCTGCAGGGCGATCAGGGGGTTTGGGCGCTGCCCCCTGTCACACTGATTCCAGTGCCGGGAGGCCTCTTAGCTCCGCTGATCCCGGTGCTGGGAGGCCTCGCGGCTCTGCTGATCCCAGTGCTGGGAGGCATATTACTCTTTTACTATATAGAATAGAGGCCCGGTGCACGGGTGGGGCCGGCTGGTTTGCCCTGAAGGGTGTCCTGGATCAGGATGGGGGTCCTCACTGGGGTGCCTGGCCAGCCTGGGTGAGGGGATGATGGCTGTTTGCAGCTGGTCACACACCCTTCAGGGTGGGGGTCCCCGCTGGGGTGCCTGGCCAGTATGGGTGAGGGGCTGAGGGCTGTTTTCAGGCTGGCGGGTGACTGAAGCTCCCAACCGCTCCTTTTTTTCTTTTTCTTTTTATTCTGGGCCAGCTTTAGCTCTGGCTCCAGCTCTGAGGTATATATCCAAAATAACTGGAAGCAGGATCTCAGAAATATTAAAGTCCAATCATTAAAAAGGACAGTTATGTTCATAAAAGCACTATTCATAATAACCAAGAAGTGAAAGCAACCCAGGCATCCACTGGCAAAGAGAAAAAGCATAATGCAGTATATACATACATTAGAATACTACTCTGCCTTTAAAAGGAAAGAAATTAGAATACATACTATAATACACATGAGACTTGAGGACATTATGCTAAGTGAGCCCAGCCAGCGAGTGAAATAAGCCAGTCACAAAAAGACAAATACTGTGTTGGTCACCTTTCGTAACCTGTCTATATCTCAGTTTCTCATATATAGCATCAAGTATGATCACTGTATTTACCTCAAAAGTTAATAAGATTTAGTGATTAAAATACTTGGAGCAAAACTTAGATTTAGGATATGATGAATTTGAAATGCCTTTGACATCTCTTAAGTAGGCAGTTCATTGAAGAGATCAGAGCAATAGTCTAAGCTGAATCAAGTGCAGTCATGTGACACCTGAAGTCATGGATGTGAATGAGATTGCCCATGGAGACAAAAGAAAAAAAGAGGGGTGCTAGCACCCAACCTTGATGAACCCAACACTTTATGGATAGGCAGAGCAGAATAAATATGTAAAGAAACCAAGAGGAAACAGAAATAAAATAAAAACTGGAAACAAAGAAAATGATTCAAAGAGGAAGGAGTGGGCAATGACAATGAGTAAAGCTAACAACACACAAGACTGCTAGTTTTTCTCTTTTTCCTTTAGCAACAAAACCCCTCAATTCAAGCTGCACAGCCAGCCAACCAAAATAGAAAATATATTTATTTTGGGTATGAAGCTAAGAAGGATCATATGGATGTAAATGATACTTATAGGTTATGTCCTTAAAGTGAGAGAGTGAGCTCTCTTTCCTCATCTTCTCATCCCCGTTTACCTGAATGAGAACCCAACTAATGGAACAGTGAGTTATTTTTCCCATGTGGCCTAAGGGATGGTACAGCTGCAAGATAGAAGGAATCTGAGTTTCTAACACCATGGAATCATTGTAGCAGTTGGTGGCTCTGCTGTCTTAAATTATTTCCTTTAAAAGGCTCTTACTTGAAGATGCAGTAGCCTTAGTATTTCAGAATTCATCACAGCAGATTTATGAGAAGGGGTATATAAGAAGAATAATGTCAACATATTTTTAAATAAATGGTACAACATATACATTAATGGCAACAATTATCTGATCATACTTTTCTACAACTTGAAAGTAATCAATGGGTATTTAAACCTTGTATTTGGAAATTCTTACAGGTGATTCTGTTTTGCTGGGTTCAAATTACACAATTGATTTTTATATATTTTACTAACTTACATTAAATAATAAAATAACATAAAAACTCCAAATCTGGCAGGTAGTTGTGGACGAGTGGTTAAGGCGATAGACTTGAAAAACTCCAAATCTAACTTTAAAAGAATATAATCTGTGTTCTAAAAACAATCTCCAAATTACTTCTTTACAGGAAATTTTGGAAACCCTGCATCTTTCAAGCCTGAAGAGAACTATCAAAAGCTGGATGCAAGTATCAAAAAAGATTTAAGCTATGAGAACAAAATAATAATTATTTACTAAATCTGTTTCTATGTTAACCTCTGATGTTTCTACCAACAATTTCCAGCAAACTACCAGGAAGATGCTTCTTTCTCAGACACAATGTGTTTTTTTCTGACTAGCTGCATTTGTGAACTAAATGCATTCAAAGTTAATAAACGGAAGGAAAAGCAAATACAGAGTTGGTCATTTTAAAATTAAATTCTTAAAAGGTTTAGGGCTATCATTTGTGGAACACAAAGAGATTTCCTTCTCTTACAGCATTCCAGGACATCACTCTTTCCTGCCTACCAGCAGACAAGATTATACTTGTCTGGAATGTCAGTGAAGTATTTATACAAAGGCAGTTTTTCAGAGTCTTCTTACTGTGAATACAAAACAGGAAATACAGTAATACCATCAGCATATTTAAACATTGTTTAGTATAAACTGTGTTTCTCCCTTAATAAGTACTAGGTTAACCTCCAAGAGGAGGAGGTGAAAATGAGCAGGTCAATAAACACATGGCACTAGTTGTTTGCAGCCAGCCAGAGGAAAGGTTCAGAAAAAAAAACTCAATAAAACTTAAAGAATTTGCCAAACTACATTTTAATGTTATACATCCACCTCTAATAAAAACTCATTTTTCTCAAAATCACAGGGCAAATAAAAGTTTTATAAAAGTTAATAATTTTATTGAATATAAAAACAGCCTAATAATAAGTTAATTGAATTGAAATTCTGATTCTGGGGCAGGAAAAACAAATTTCTATGTAAAGTGGTCATTCATCAAAAACACCAAATAAAGCAAAGATTTCCATTTTTTTTCACTTAAAAAAATCTCATTTACCTTCCATGGATTAACAGAGTAATACAATTCTACAAACCTACTTAGGGAAGAGTTTTGAAAATTATTTACAAATAGATTATAAAGTACAGCTGGTATCCTAATTTCAGACATAAGTCTAATTTCCCATAAGATAGAATGAATGCACTTGGGTTTGACTGCCCCCTGCTGATGTGAGATTTCTAAAACTACACAGGTTGACTAGATAAAATTGTGATGTTATTTTTTTAAAAACTGTTTCTACCCAGAAATTGATTTCAATTTCTTCGTGAAAACCAAGGACATTTAACTATTTAACCTTTGTGTCTTATTTTCACTCAATGGGAATATGTTTGTGGAATATCTACAGTATTACCTGATGCATATCAAAAATATTTCATTTCTCTGACCTCAAAATACTTACATGTTATTAGATAGGAAAAATCTGGAAAAGAATAAAGTGTTAGAGAAAATAAAAAACTAAGCTAAGTGGTACTGAGGAGAAGCAAACTAGAGAAAACTAAGGCCAACTTAGTTTTAAAAAACCAACTTAATGGAAATGGTTGTGAAGACTGAGACAGCTGAGAAAAGTAATGAGGATGATGTTAGACAAATAGGAATGAGATAAAATAAGCACATGCCTGGAGGAAATGATGACACAGCATGGGAAGAACATGTGACACCAGAAGACTTAACTGCCAGTTTAAATAGATAAATGTTGAGTGAAAACAGAAAATAATGGTGAGAGATTGGGGCCCAACTTTTTTAAACTAAAAAAGCCATAATAAAGAGCAGGACTTGAGGCAAACAATAGGGAACAGGAAAGGTTCCTTAGCAGTACAATCATCTGGGTAAAGACATTCCTTTAGAAAGAGTACTGTGAAGTAGAAGATGAAATGGAGAAAAAAGAGAATGGAGGCACAGAAACTGGGTAAGGGGATAACTAGTAATCTAGGGAAAGAATTGAACCAGAATGGAAGCAATGGAAATGAGAAAGAAAAATAAAATGGGAGATACATTTTGGGTGAAAAAAAAAACTGGGTGCCTGGCAGATTCAGAATTTTGTGCAGTTCTTATGCCATATTGATTATTAAATACAATTGACAAATAAGGAACAGTGTCCAAAGTGTTAACAGAAGGGGAAACTATGGTATCATGGCAGCTAAAGGGGTACAGATTTCAAGAATACTTGGGTAGTCAGCAGAATCAAATCTGTGAATTCAAGACAAAGAACCCTAGGAAGCCATTAGATTTTTTTGGTTCCATAACAATTTTTTGACATAAATTTAGATATATTTCTAGATCTGTGAAATATGTATGTCATTGGTATTTTAATAGGGACTGTACTGAATCTGTAGATTGCTTTGTGTAGTATGGACATTTTAATGATGTTAATTCTTCCAATCCATGAATATGGTATATGCTTCCACTTGTTTGTATCTACCTCTATTTTCCTTTATCAAAGTCCTATAGTTTTCTGAGTACAGGTCTTTTACATCCCTAGTTAAGTTTATTCCTAGGTATCTTATGCTTTTTGTTGCAATAGTAAACGGGACTGTCTTTTTAGTTTCTCTTTCTGAGAGTTCATTATTCATGTATAAAATGCCATCTATTTCTGGATATTAATTTGTATCCTGATACTTTGGCGAATTTATAAAATCTAGCAGTTTTTTGGTGGAGTCTTTAGGATTTTTCTATGTACAATATCATGTCATCTTCGAATAATGACAGTTTTACTTCCTCCTTTCCAGTTTGGATGCTTTTTATTTCTTCTTTTCTGATTGTTGTGGCTAGGATTTCCAGTACTATGTTGAATACAAGTGGTGAAAAAGGATATTCCTGTCTTGTATCTGATCTTAAAGGAAACTCATTTAGTTTTTGCCCATTGAGCATGACATTGACTGTAGGTTTGTCATATATGAGCTTTATTATGTTGAGGTCACTGGTGACCTTCACAAGTTCACTTTTAGCAAAGTAGTACACTCAGGAGGAAACAGAGAGCTGAAAATGTTCTAAATTGAGATGAGATATAGAAATTAAGTGGAGTAATTCACTTTAGGGGGAACATGTCTGTCTCCCCGCAGAGGAAAGGAGGATCACGTAAATAATAGGGTAGAGCTATGTTTAGTTAAAGATGGGGATACACAGGAAGTTCATGGCAAATGGTCTCAATTTATCTCTACAAATCAGTTTCCAAGCTCATTTCTCAAAAAAAAAAAAAAAAGATAGATTAATATTTACAAAAAACTTGGAAAATATTTGATATCACTTTTCTAGCCAGGAGTCCAGTTTCTACTGGAGATGTCCAGTCTCTAGGGATGGCTTCATCTTGCCAATGTTTCTCATTTTCTATAGCTGTCTAGAAAACTCTGTGTGCTATTTCATAACAAAGTTCAAAGCTGACCCACCACTGACACCACTTCCTACACATATAAGAAGTCTTTCCAAGTATGGTTTATGTGAAGACATCTGGAATTAAGCATGGAATTCAAGAATAGACCATATTCACATGTCATAAGTAAATGTGGTCATGGTAAGACTTCTTGGAAAAGTCATGTGTACCCTAAAATAGAACAGTAGCTTGTTTTAGAATCATCCAACAAAACCATGATAAATTATATTTTATGCTACATTTTCTTTGCAAAGGCATTTCTGTTGAAATGTAATACTTAAAGTTAGATTTCAATTAACTCATTTGCTTATAGAGCAGACCATTTGTAATGCTTCTGCCCAAGTTCACTATCTTGTATCACTATATTGTCAGTTTTTTAAAATAAATATAAAAAATGAAGTTTCCTCTCAAAACTCATATTCCCAAAATAATGAAATAAACACCAAGATGTGCAGAGTTCCAATAAGAACATTTTATGCTTATTGGAGAGTACACCAGCTATTTTGAGACAAAGGCCTGATTCTGCCTCAGGACTGAATATTCAAATACAAAATTAAATTGATATGAGACGTTAACACTAATAGACATTTCCTAGGAAAGATTTAAAATCAACAAGAACTAGTAAGTACTTGTAGAATGAATAAAAGTGCTCTACTGATTATATGTCTATACAACAAACCAAACTAAAAAATTCCCTTTAAGGTTACACAGAAAGGAATCTAATAACAACTGTTTTCCTGTTAAATTGAAAAAAATACATAATTTATTAAGTATAATATTAGAAAAAGACAGAATTAACCATTGTTTTCTTCTTTAAATATTATCCTCTGTGACTTTATATAAATTAAGATATTTTATACAATAGTTATATTTTAGGTATTTTAAATATCTTTTGGCAAAATGGAATTTTCTAAGGCAGCTGCCTTTTGAAAAACAAATATAAGTTCCTCTGATAAAAGATTTCCCTGAAATAAAATTAAAGAAGAAAAAAAGAAAGCAGTTGATTTTCGGAAAGTAAAATATTCATGAGAAAACAACAGGAATGACAATTTTAAAAAAGGAATACAAAGCAGGTTCTAATGTACAATGCTGCAGGCCACACCTGGATGAAGAGTAGAAGTGAGAGAGGAACCAAGATGGCGACAGAGGTAAACACCTGTACTTGCTGCCTCTCACAACCACATCAAAACTACAACTAAAAGACAAAACGAATAGCATCCAGAACCACGGGAAGGCTGGCTGAGTGGAAGTTCTACAACTAGAAGGAAAGAGAAAAGCACATTGAGACTGGTAGGAGGTGCAGAAGTGCGGAGGTACAAAGGTGCTGCTGTTTTTTTCAATCGGGAGGGAGATACAAGATTTGATTGCTCTGAACTCCAGTTCCAGGCAAGACTCTGGGGACCTAGACTCATATGAGGAGAAACTGGACTGTCTGATATCGGGACAGGAATGTGAGGGCGGCTTTCTCTAAGAGGTGCTCGCAGCTATCGTTGTTCCTGCACTGGGTCACAGGACAGAGACCCAGGGACCTCTCCAAGGCAAGGCTGACTGGCAGCCATTGCTGTTTGCTCCACCCTGGTGATTCCCTGAGACCCCGCCTCACCCAATTTACAACCCCACCCAAGCTATGCACAGAGGCTTTTGAATATGAATGGCCTGTCCTTTTGCAATCTAAAACCTAATAAACTGCAGCTGGGTCAGAGAGCTCCAAAGCTCCCAAAAGAAGGCCTAAGGCTCATCAGCAGCATGCATTGCTTCACAGCTGGGCCTCATCTGGGCACTTCCAAACCGCAAACCAAGAGGAGGAATCTGCAGAGCTCTCTGTAGCTACTGCTGGGTGGCCTCAGGCAGTGGCTGCCTTTGCACCTACTTGGAAATCCAAGAGCCAGTGTACCCAGTGGTCAGTGTGAGACCATACCAGATTACAACTCTTGACATCCATAAGAGACACACTCAAAGGGCAGACAATGAGCAACAAAGCTCCACTGAAGCAAGCCCTGCCCCATAAGGGTGTCTCCAGCACAGAAATTCTCCCATTGTAGACACTGCTGATACTCACAGTCAATTAGCCTGGAGGTCAATTCCTCCCAGTGATACCACCAGCAATCAAGGCTTAACTATAACAAGACTGTGCACAGAGCCCACAAAGGGGTGCACTAAGAGTGTCC